GTTGCCTAACAATGTAATTTTAACACACTATTTAGTATGTAAATATAAGAATGTTTAAAATATTTACAAAATGATGAAAATAAACGCAATATTTCGCTAGACTAACTAGCTTTATCAAGCGTGCATCTATCCAGGTGAAATCGGATGTAGATGATAAGAAACTTTTGCAGCTCAATGTATATGTTGCACTTGAATTTAGCTGCCTTGAAAATAATAAATAATTTGAATGAAGTTCAAGATTTTTACAAAATTGGTAGTTGAAGTTAGCAACGTCCATTGGCCAATATTACAGGATAAAAAGGACGATGCTGTGTACTAAATTATTCTTTATCTTTCCTGTATCTTTTCTCATCTTTTTCGTTAAGACCATCAGGTTCTAAAGTGTGGAGTTGGTGGATCCAAAAATTTTCTCTTCTCCTTCTCGCCGTGGTGTCCCACTCGGTGTTGACTTCTATGATTTGGAAGGTAACATTATCAAACGAATGTTTCGTTGAACGAAGATGTCTTGTGAGAGGACAGTTTTTGTTGGTTTTGTACCATGAACGATGGTTATTTAATATTCGGCTCAATAACCATCGTTCATGGTACAAAACCAACAAAAACTGTCCTCTCACAAGACATCTTCGTTCAACGAAACATTCTTTTGATAATGTTACCTTCCAAATCATAGAAGTCAACACCGAGTGGGACACCACGGCGAGAAGGAGAAGAGAAAAATTTTTGGATCCACCAACTCCACACTTTAGAACCTGATGGTCTTAACGAAAAAGATGAGAAAAGATACAGGAAAGATAAAGAATAATTTAGTACACAGCATCGTCCTTTTTATCCTGTAATATTGGCCAATGGACGTTGCTAACTTCAACTACCAATTTTGTAAAAATCTTGAACTTCATTCAAATTATTTATTATTTTCAAGGCAGCTAAATTCAAGTGCAACATATACATTGAGCTGCAAAAGTTTCTTATCATCTACATCCGATTTCACCTGGATAGATGCACGCTTGATAAAGCTAGTTAGTCTAGCGAAATATTGCGTTTATTTTCATCATTTTGTAAATATTTTAAACATTCTTATATTTACATACTAAATAGTGTGTTAAAATTACATTGTTAGGCAATCTATATATATATATATACATATATAAATCTGTTTTGACCTCTTACAGTCCTGTCTAAAGTTTCAGATATAGTCTTCGCTTGCAGATTGCTTTATTTGCGAAACTAACACAAACCTAGCATTCAAGTTTAACATAAAATAAACAGTAATACCTGTTCAAGACAGATTGTAGAAAATGTTTCAACAATATTTCAATAATTAAACATGAAAGCCAACAGTAGTTTATCGATGTTCAAGTCTTATAAATCGATTATGAAGACATCCCAAATCAAGGCAACAAAAAAACCTAGGGAATCCCACAAACTCCAAAAAGATTGAGACTAGGTGAGTTGACAGGGTTAGTGTCTCATTATACCATACATTAAGTCAAAATGTCACATCCGGGAATAAGACACAATCGATAAATTGCATATCAGACGACTATTCCGCTCTCTAAAGATCTAAGACTGCAAAAACAAGTCACTAGTGAGTTTAGACACAGACATATTGTATCGGTCAACCAAATCCTGGTGGTACCATACAATTTGGTAAAATTTCTATTTATGGTCGTTACAGACTATGGACTATGTTACAGATTTGCATACAACTTTGGTTCTTTGAACTTCTAAACGAAAATCTAAAAAAATATAATGCATTTATCTCCTTTATTTTCTGAAATATTACTGATTGAATTTTTTCAAAATAGTTGCACATTTGTATAAAATCCACATACAATCGACGAAAATGTTCTTAAATGTGTCTTTAAATACAAGTCCGTAGATTTTTCTAAAAGAAGTATATGTTTTTGGTACATTAATTTCCGTTTTAATGAAAAAAAATTATAGGGTCACCGACTTTGTTTTACGGTGCACAGTATTTAAAGTCGTGTTCTAGAAGAAAACATACGATAAAACGTCGAAACAATCGTAACATCATCGCGTTATAGGCCGTAAAACGTCATTTTTTGACGTATTTTACTACCAACAAGGTAACAGATTGGTTAATACTCTAAAAACGAAGTTGTAGACAATATGATTATTTCATATCTTAATCAGCCTGTCTGTTACTCCCGAAAAATAGGGAGATTACAATTGGAAAGTTGACATCATTACGTTTGACATATATCTTAGTTCAGAGTCGTCCATCTATGTCAATATAGTGGAAAAGCTGAAAATATGAATCAAACTTCTGGTTTCGGTAGCATCTAAAATCTCAAGTTCACTTGGATAAATGAGATGTTTGCACTCACTGAAAAGTTATTATTATCTTCTTATTTTATATTAATTTATGAAAATTCACATATGAATGACACCATTGGTTGAATATAACTCATCACAATATTTCTGGTCGCCATGTTCTATTATAGAATCAATGGTGGTTAGAACTTTAGAAATGTGATATATTTTGTCAAACATCTTAACGAGCCAGTTATATATCGTTCTTTGCATGAAATTTTTGAGAAGTTAGATTGTCTAAAGACGAAAGATTTTTATCGTCTTTTTTATGTTTATGCCATAGGAGAGAGTTGTGTCAAAAAAGACCGATGACGTCATGCAAAAAGAAAAAATCCACAAGTCATATACCTGCGCAGATATCATTCAAGTTATAAAAAAAGATGTGCATCGCCCTGTTGGTTTTGTAAAAGTTTTTAATCCTTCAGCTTAGATTCCCGTTAGACCCGGATGATCGAGTAGCAAATTGATGTAAATATAAAATGCACATGTAGCTGTTTACAAAATTTGTATTGTATGAAATTGACTTATAAGGTACCAATTTAGAAAACATATGCATTCCGATCGCGTTATGTGTAAAAGAATCAATAGTATGTATTAGTTATAACAAAGTAACACAATGACGTCAAGGCTAAAACTGCAAGTGCGTTGTTCATTGCGCACACGAAGGCCAGATAATATTAACATTGCAATTGCGTAAATTGTGCTCAACATGACAGCTTGATATTACTGTAAAAGATTGATATTCAAATTTGGCACGGGGGTTATTTCGCGTAACTTAGTTTCAAAAGTTCATTATAAATATTAACATTAGGAAACGTCGATGCAAAAGATGTACAAACTGATATTCCTAACATCAAGAAATGTTATATAGTTTTGTTTATAAAATCTAAGGATTTAAAACAATTTGTGCCACTTCTAAACTGTAACATTATTGTCGCTTGCCCTTTAGGACCATCAAATATGGAGAAGAAGGTATTGATTCAAAATGTGTTTTTCTTTTTACAAGTTTGATTTGTCTTAATATGACAACCAATGCGTGTAAAAATGAAAAATGGGCTATATAGATTAGGATAGGGACTCCCAGGCTTTTTAAGACAATTATTATCCCTTGACTTGAAGTTGGCATGTCACATCATGGTTTCTTGGAGTCAATGTTCATCGTCGATAAGGATAAAAATATATATGGCTTAAGGTTGAAGGGCTTAAATGCAGTCAATGGATAGAGCAGAAGAAGAAGAATATATAAATAATTTGATGGTTTGAGTCACAGTTATATGTGAAATAATTCAGGAATAATAATTGTAGTGATAACCCCAAGAAGTATTTGTATCTTGCATTGTAACGATTTTTTTTTATGAATCAGCACGTTTCGACGGAAGGAAGTCGTTCCAGGAGAGAGGATGTATATTGCAGTCAATGCATCTTGTTAATAAAAATAGAAATATATATGAAGTTGGCTCGTTAGAGATATAAAAAGATATTAACTTAAGGGAGAGGGAATTTGTGTTGACATCATACAGAGATAAGATATCTGTGCAAGACAAGACATATTGTCATGAGGAATCAAGTCATCATACATAAAATGAGGAGTGTGTCAATGGTTTTTGAGACCAATACTACGAATTATATCATGTAGACTATATGATATCCACAAACTTGGGTTATAAGTTATTCATTACTTTAAACCGCTTTTTGTATTTTGAATGATGAGATAGCTATTCATTCTTTCTAGATAGTAAGAAAATGATATAGGTACTATTGAATGATAAACATGATAAAGCCTTCGGACACGACTTTTCATGTAGCGTCAACACGATATACCAACATGGAGAATATTAGTTATAATTGAACTATAAACATTTGTCATACAAATGGGATGTTTTTCTTTCATGCAGAAAATGCCTGTGCCAAGTCCTGAATTTTGACAACTGCTTTCCATGTGTTCTGTTGGTTTATGAAATCTTGTGTTTGATTGTGTCAGATTTTACGGAATTCCCCCTTTTTGAATTTACCTTGGAGTTCGTTTGTTACTACTTTTTTCTATTGCAGATGTCTGCTGTGATAAAACTATTTAGTATTGTGATTAAAAAGAACAAAATAAACACAAGAAGAATATCAGGGAAAAAAGTCTTTACAACTTGTATTGGTGTGGTTTAAAAATATTTTACACACGTTTGAACGATTAAATAGTTGTTTATCGCAAATCGTAATACACACCTACGGCAAATAAACGTCGCATTTGAACATAACCAATAACTCCTGAAATGCAAAATACTGCTTTATCTTCAGTACGAAAATTCAGGACTTTTATTATTAATAGTTGTATATAGTTTAGATAAGATGCGCATAACTAAAATGTAGTTTTTAAGAAAAATGTTTAAGGCCTTATATTAAGAAATAGATAATTTATTTTACAAAAAAAAAAATAAAACAAAAACAATATTTTGTGAATCCGTTATTTTACTGAACTTAAGCTATTAACAAAACCCAGAAAACTTCTGTATTTTTGGGTAAATAACCTTTTATTCATTATAAAATGAAACGGGGAATACCTGAAACTGTTTATGTTAACGAGGTCAGGCCACATGACTATACTCGTAGCATTACATTAGGTATTTATAAGAACATGTAGACATTGTGATCTTTAATACTGATATAAATTCCTTTTTAATGGCTTTAGCTCGAGGACTTGTTTCAAACATCGCGTTTGAACAAGCGATCGGAAATTTTGCATTCTCTTTGTATAATAAGGTACCAAAAGACGGTAATGAAGTATTATCACCATACAGTATCACCACCGCTCTGCTCATGCTCATGCTGGGTACGGATGGGACGACCAAAAATCAAATGATGTCATCTATGTACTTGCATACTTTGCCTACGAACGTGCATTTTAATTACAAACGACTCGAATTAAAGCTGACCAGGAAAGCAAAAAAAGGTGCATCGCTTTTGGTAGCTAACAGATTATACGGAAGTAATGCTTTTTCTTCTTACAAAGATAAGGTCCGGCGTTATTATGGAAGTGCGATGAAACTAATGGACTTTACAGGACAGCGAGAAAAATCGAGGAAAAGTATAAATGATTGGATTGCAGGAAAAACCAATAACAAAATTAAAAATGTGATTAAAAAGAAAATGATAGACGCCAGCACAGCTTTAGTTTTGGTTAATGCTATTTATTTTAAAGGATCATGGGACGCTAAATTTGACCAGACAAAAACTAAAAGGGAAACATTTCGCGTCAGCCAGCACGTACGAAAACAAGTTTATATGATGAATGCCATTTATAACGTGAAGTCTGGGCGAAATACTGCATTGAACTGTAAAATTCTTCAGCTGCATTATAGCGGAAAGAGATTGTCTATGATATTTATTCTTCCAAATGATGCAAATGGACTCAAGAAACTTGAATCTAAACTATCTTTGAATACTTTCAAAAACATTCTTGGTGGACTACGTACACAAAAGACTGTTATCAAAGTACCAAAGTTCAAAATAGAGACCGGGTACGATTTGATTCCAATACTTAAGGCTCGTGGTATGACCAACATATTCAATCGGCGATTAGCAAATTTCAAGAACATGGCTAACGTTAACCGGTCTCTTTACGTCAGCACTGCTGTCCACAAAGCATTTATAGAGGTTAACGAAGAAGGGACCGAGGCACCAAGAAGCACAGTTGTGTTACCAAAAAGGGGTGGTAAGAAAGACTTTTTCCAATTTACAGCGAATCATCCATTTATTTTTGCGATTCGTGATAATTTAACTGGAACAATTATATTCATGGGACGTGTTGTCAACCCCTGATAAAAAAGCCTAATGATATAGAAGATGCATTTCATTTTTGCTGACTTGTTTTGTTTGTCAGTTTTGTTTCCTTTTTTATATTATTTTTAACCATACACCTTTTATAAAATGCTGATTTTTTTTTTTATATTTACAAAAGAAGATACGAATAACAAGTATTGTTTTGTTACTATTTCAAAAGATCAACCGAAATAAGCAATTTAGAGCCAAAAGAATTATCGTCCTTGTATAAAACACATAATTTCAACGTTATTTTATATGAGCTTAGAAGAAAAAAAATAAACTTACCGTGTAAAAGAAACAGTGAATGACGTCATTATCACGAGAACAATTCATTAACGGGACGTATCGCAAGCAAACCATCTCACACATAGGATATTATATAAATTACAGAAGGAGTTTTGTATTCTACGGTTCACATGACTGCATGGTTAGTAAAATTATCATCCATTATGCTAAACAAATACAACCGATTCGCAAGATGTATATACTACTTGTCGTAATACATCATGCACTGTTTACAACCCTAGATGATGGCAACTAGGAAAGACATTATTCGACTAACGAAAGCTATATCTAATGTTGCCTAGATCGCCGAGTGGTCTCGGGCGCTAGACAGAGTTCAGGCAGTGGTGGCACGATTTCACGAAAGCAGGGGTTCAAACCCCGCTGAGGGAAGAACAAAAAATTGCTAAATTAAGTTTGTAAATCTAACATTATTAGACTAAATTTCAGAAGAATATTTATTATATTATATTATATTATATTATTTGCAATATGACATATGCTTATCACTGGAAAATGTTGATTTACTTTTGAGGATGTATATCAATCGTTTCAGGAAAATTTCACAGGAAAAGTATCTTCTCGGGTATACATTAAATTTATCATCATACAGTTAATACGTAAATAATCTTTGAAAGAAGGTCATTCGATCATTGTCAGTTACATGTTTATAGATATTGTACAGTAATTACTTGATTCAAATACGCGACTTAAAAAGAGGTCCGACAAGTAACAAAATATTTTAGTATTTTTATGAAGCTTTGTGTGCTCTAACGGACTCGTGAACTTGTTTGGACTTTTCGAAGAAACAAATTATTCTCTTTTCTACGTTTTTTTCTTTTTTTTTGTTTTTTTTTGTTTGAGATTTTGAGAATTCAGTATGATGGCAGATGTTTGAAACTTTATTTCTAATGTATTCAAAAAATGAAAACGGTCAAAAGACAAACAACAGTTTACAAAACACAACATAGAAACCTATTGACCAAGCAACACGAATCCTACCGAAAACCGGGTTTGATCTCGGGTGCTTAGACAGGGTAAATAGACCCTGATCCACATATGACTGCATGTCGCCGTTTAGGTTTATGGTTGAGTTTCTGTTTCATGGTACCCAATATCTTCTTTTAAATATTTATGCTTATATTCAATGTAGATAAATTAACAATAAGTATGATAAATATGTATTGTCAATAAAGGATGGAAGATAGTGAAATGTGGATTGGCATCATTACAATTGACTGTGTGTCCATGCAAGGAGCCACTGTGGTATTGTTGTGATACTTCATTTTAGTTCAAAGAACGTCACACTGCCCTACACGAAGAATTGGTTAATAACGTTTCCATTCTAAACCATAACTGTGGTTCTTTTTAAACCACTGTTACTTTAGAAATTTATGACGATAGCAATCATATTTTCCTTTGTTGTCGACCTTTCTTGCAGATACTGAAATCCTGTTGAATAAAAATGATGGAAGCATAAATTACATATTACATTTTCAATTTCGAAGTACCCTTGTTTTTACCAGTTATACCTTATTTTACGGTTATCATTTTACTCATTGTTGGACGCAACACGATGACTTTTGATTATGTACATCTTTCTTTATGTGGGGGGGGTTTAGTCTGAATGAATTATTGTCTTATTAGCATTCATACATTCTGTTTGCTTCTATTGATTATTATAATATCATAGAAAGGACAATTTCCTTTTCTATCTTGATCCGCCGTATGGATAGCTCATTAAAAGAAGCGATGAGGAACCTTAAGTTATATATATATATATATATTTATCTTTTTTAAATGTATATTTGATAGATAGAAGTGTCAAAATGAATATTTTTTTATATTTGATTGATATGCATCAGTGCTTCAGTTGTTGTGGTATTAAAGTACCAAAAACAACACTTGTCATCTTAATGCAATGCTTCAAAGTAACAAATACAAACTGTACAAAGATTAAGTACAAATTTAACATCAGCTCAGTAGTTAGTACTTCGATACTGACATGATTTATAACGAACCATCTGAAATTGCCTGTTTATGAATTTTGAAATTATACAAAAACTAAGGTTTCAGCTCCATCAGGAAAAGTTGGCCGCAGATGGATTTGGCTATTTTTATAGGTCCTTTTTGGTTTATAGCTCTACAACGTTTTCGGTCCTTATACATCTTTGGCTTTAAAATATTCGATTTTGGGCGTTCCTAATGAAGACAAATCCAGAAAAGCACGTCGAACGCATGAACTTTCTAACGTGTTGTTTTCATTTTTTAACATATATCATATATAAAATCAGCATAGATTCCAAGATTGCAATTGTGTTCGCAAGATGCGCGTTTCGTCTCCAAACGACTCATTAGTGACGCCAAACGACTCATCAGTGACGCTCAAATTAAAAAAAGTAGAAAACACAATTCTAAAGCAACATAAAGTACCAAATTAAAGAGGATCGAGGACCTAACATTCCTAAAGGTTGTGAAAATACATCTATGGTAATATATTCCTTAGGCAGATAATCCTTAGTATTTCGGAAAAATGAAAAGTTTAGTAAACCGTTAATTTATAATTATGACCATATCAATGATAATTCCTGTCAACACAGAAGTGCTGACTACTAGGCTGGTGATACAATCGGGGAGGAAACCTCCACCAGCAGTGGCATCGACCCAGTTACTGTAAATAAACTCATCATTGACACCAGACTTGAAATTTTGTACGCCAAACCCGCGTTTCGACTTCAATAGACGCCCTAACCAAAACATTGAAAAGACCAATAAGTACGAAGCATTGAGGACGCATACATGATCTAAAAATTTGAAACTTAAATAAGGTCAGAGGTGTTTAAACAATAATATCAAATTTCACAATTTTGTAGTACCCATTGCATTACACTGTTGCGTAAAGTTGTACATGTTATACCAATTGTTCTTTTCATGTGTCATTTAAGAGTAAGATTAGTGTGGACAAGCTGGTGCAAACTCAATGAACTGTATATTTGGTGTTTTTATGTAGATAGCTATACAAAAATCTCTTCTCTTATATTCTATCATTGTTATTTAGCTACGTATAGTGTTTCCATTGAGTAAATTTTGATACAAGACAACCTAATATTTTGAGTAACTTTGCCGAAAATTTCAAAATGTTCAATTTGGTCTGACATACTTTGCCTAATGCCTGCTTTCGCATTTTGTTATAATCCAGAATATCTTCATTTTCACGCGAACTGATGTCTTAATTTCCAACCCTTCATCTCAAACACCCCTTAACGGAACTGGCTAATTTGAATTATTTGTTTATATTTTAGTCACCCTAAAGAAAGAAATATATAACACAGATTATACATTAAAACAATTATTTAATCATTATATGAGCTGTATCGGATAGAAATCGACCTTATGCAAGTGCATGTATATATGTTCATGTATAAGGCTTTGATTGATTTTGGAACATTCAAATACAAAAAAAAACGGTAAAATTTGGTCAGATTTCGTGGGTTCTTATAACACCTCAATTTCAAACAGTTACATACTTTCCGTAGAGATTTTTGTTTAACCCAAATAGGTAAACAGACGTATCGATATTCATTTACATAAGGTTAATTTATATCCGATGCAGCTCATATCATAGTTTCCCTATCACGCCAATTTTAAGAAAATAATTTCAATCATTATTGTTCTCATAAGTAGTTAAAATTCATAATAACTATAAGGCCTACAATGTATACGCGCTGGTTCTGTACATTATATTCCTCATAGGCGCTCAAATCAAAACATTTGAAAGGCCCAATCAAATAAGAGGTTGAAGAGAATTAAAACCCGAAAAACTCCAAAAATTTGTACCAAATACGGTTAAAGCAATCTATGAAAAGGGACAGAAAACCTAAGTGTTTCTTTTGTTTATTATTATTTAACATTTTATAAACCGTAAATGAAAATAAATATAAATGGTCAGCACATGTCACTATTAAAAACGACACACAAGTATATGTTACCTTGTAAAACAACGTTATATCTATTTAATGTTATTAATGTAAATGTACAGTGTAATTTGACATTACATTTGTCTTGAACGTGTTTTACAGATTTATATAAGGAGATTATATTAATAATTAACATAACCTGTACATCATGTGTTGGTTTCAGCTAGAATAAACCAGTTTATAATATAATTATGTAGGTTTAAGGCTACTTAAATTTTCACATACATGTAGCAATATTTGCTTTTTAAATTCAACGTCTTGTGACTGCGTTATTACTTCTTCATGCAAATTAGAATAAAAAAAATGAAAGGGTCTATGAATACTCAGGCTAAATCGATATCCAAAGACCAAACGGTTGCTAACCGTATGTCCTACCTCAATCAGAAGTAAATTCCTGTCTCCGCAAATAAAGCCCCTGAAACTTGTGTTGGATGTAAATCACATTACATAACCTGCTTGATAATGAATAGGGAAGTGCCACTTTACTTGGAAACTCAACATATACCCACCCGACACATATCTAAGAAGAAACCCTGAATAATAATAGGTCTGTTCTATGTTCTATGTAGTGAATGTTGTGTCGTTGGCATTCCCGACATAAAGTATTTGAATTTGCTTGAATATTATGAAATTACTGTTTCACAGATGACGACGGTTATGTTCCAATTGTCGTACCCAAAATCTTGCTGTTTTCGTCTTTCATCACATTATTGTTACTAATAATACGAAAGGAAGAACCTGAGGTAATTCCGGTTTTTGGTAAAGTTCGTGTTGATCAATTTTCAATGTTGTGTTTTGTGTTGTTTATCTTTTCGTCGCGTGTGTTTTTGCTATGTGGTTGTCAGTTTGTCATTGACTTATGAGTTGAATATCTCTTTGATGTCTTCCACTCTTTTGTGCATTATTCGGTAGTTTTTCAATAACTTTTTTGTGAGCTGAGTAAGTTCAAAGGTTGTCGTTCGTTAGTATGTGTCATTTTTGTTTTTCATAAATTGTTTTGTTATAAATTAGGCCGTTAGTTTTCTCTATTGAATTGTTGAGGCCTGTAATATGCGACTATACGTTATAGGTTTTTCTCATTGTTGAAGGCCGTATGGTTGCCTATAATTGCTTACATCCATTTCATTTGAACTTTGTAGGATAGTTGTCTCACTGGCAATCATACTACATCTCCTTATTTTTACATTTAAGTAATCTGTATGTGCCAATTCGCCATCAGGATTGGAAGGAAGGAAATATCGTTCGCCTGTCTCATACTTACACATCCTTAATACTTTTTTTATAAAATTTATAATAACCCCTGCTCTTTTTGTCCGCCTAAAGAGTCTGGTGGTAGCGTTCTCGTGATGAGAAGGAAAAGTCTATGGTTTGATCTCCAACTGGATCATACCAAAGGCTTTAAATTGGTTTTTGCTGCTTTGCATGATGTTTTTAGTTGCAAGAGCAAATACTGGTCATTATGCAGTCATGCATACGACTGTGTGTTACCCAATTTTGGTTCGGTGTGTCGTTCTAGCAATATCAGGATTCATATATATTCATACTTACTTATTCTAGTCCTCAATATGCATGCATTATTTCCAGTGGACGTTTAAAATCTGTCTGTCCATCCATCGACTCATGATTATTTTACATGTTTTACACAGGTTTGGATTGCTTCCATGATAGACAACTTACCAGTGACCGAAAGTTTTTTTTTCTTCAAATCTTTTAAAATGTATAAAATACTTTTTTATTTATATTTTCTACGCATATACAACTACATAAATGCTTGGTTATTGTTCATATTAATTAATTAATTATGGTTTTTGTCATCACTCATTTTAATAGGTTTTGTTTTACAGTTGTTACAATTTTTTCATTAGAAAATGAGTCACAGGCAGTCAATATAGAAAATTCCAGGTGAAGCAACAAATTTTTATTTTGTGTTTCATATTCAATTTCAATAAGAAAACAAGTTTTGATCAAATATCAACTCAAAGCTTTTCGTTATAAATAAAATAAATGTTTCAAATGATTGAAACAGAGAGGCTCCATTTTTTTCTTTTATTAAATTTTTAATGGGTCAGTTAATCTAAAAGTATTTCAATTAATTGGAAGAGGAATCTGAATATCATTTATTTTCTGGAACCTCTAAAAAAAAGTAGTGATGCAATATCTGCTCCAAACTCCGAAAAATTGAGTTACTCGCCGCTGCTACGCGATGTTTGACGCATCCAGCGTAGTGACAAACCCACTATTGAAAACTTATATATTACCCTTTATCTTTATATTACACACTTATGCTTAAGTTCGTGTGTTCTTGTACCTATTATGAAATTACTGTGTAAAATTACGAAGTGCACCAGCTGATGTAACAGTTTTAACGATATAATTTCACTTTAGTTTTTTTTTTAATCTCGCCCTCAATAATTACAAACATTTGTGTGATCCTGTATTACTCGTTGTTGTTTGCCATATCATGTTTTATGTCTTAGTTTTATGTCGGTATGAATACAGTGAAGTCTTTTCTTTGGAATGCATTTTCTTCGGAAAGAGTTGTACGATCTGTTATGTACTAGCAATATTCTAGTTATTGCAATCAAAGGAGGATGACGGAAATATGAGACAACTTGTTGAAATCATCTCCCCCCCCCCCCCCCCCCCCCCCCACCAAAAAATAAAAAAAACAAACAAAACAAATCAATCAAACAAATCAAACAAAACAATCAAAGCAAACAAAACAAAATAAACAAGCAAACCAATCGACATAAAAGAAGTCATTGACAGAAAATTAGAGTATAGTATAGTAAATGTCGTTTCCTTAGCATTGTCGACACATGCAGTTATACGTGTTTCTTTTACTTTTTGGGTCAAATATTTTCCAATTGATTTTTCCTACTTATGTTATTATAAATTTTCAGTGATCTTAATATAAAGATTTAAAATTTCGTGTCTCCCCCTTTTTAGAGTTCATGGCCTAAATTTGTGTGTATTACCTTGATTTGTCTTCCTACTCGATGTATGAGATTTGAACATAGATACACTACTAATGCGTATATATCCAGTAGATTAAGTATATAACTTTTGAATCAAATACACGTTATTTTGTGATGATCCAGTACGAACACGCATGAAACTATACTTAACAACACAAATAAAGCACCACATCTTACCATATGTAGTTGTTTCGCAATATCTTGTTTTGCTTCAAATTTGTAGAATGTATTAAATTTAACCATAACCATGAAACTAAAACAAAGTTTACAGAAAAGTTTTGATTTATGTGGTGGCAATGGAGTTTGCAATCAGAGAATTCAAATATCAAAAGTCTGAGGTGAGTCAATTTCGAATTGGCCTTTGGACAATAATTCGAAAATCAGAGTCGTTCTCTTCGTTTTCATGTGAACAGATACACACTACTTTAGTTTTTCCCAGATTTGGCAACAGGTTTGTTTTGTTTTGTTGTTATTGTTCAAAATATTAAATATGAAGAAATGTTTTATGTCACAGAATTTGATATTTTGATGTTTATGACTTCAAAAACGTATGGTAAAAATTTTGACCCATTTTAATCATTTTTCAAAAAGTTATATGCAAAAGAAATGTTTACTTTAAGGAAATTCGTTGATGTGGTGCATTTTTGTTGTTGCTGAGTATATACATTTAAACTTTCATTTATTTTTTTCCTTCCCTATGTGAAATCTTCTTTGCTTTTTTTCAAACAAATTATTACCCAACCCTTGAACTAACCGATAGTCATTTTCCAGCTAACTCTTTACTATGTTTCTATATATATACTAGTATATAAAAAAGAATATTGGACTGTGTCCCCAATACAGCGAAACACGTTCTGTAATTTTCTATTGAATATTCTGGTTTTCACCAGTTGTATCTACGTACAAGTATAAAACATTTAGATTGATGAGGGTTTTTTCTAGATGCATTTACTTGTCAACAGTAAATACGTAACAAACCATCTACGTCATCATCTTTATGAACGGTAGATAAATTATTTTGCAAAAGACATCACGCTAAGTTATAGCTTATACGTAATTATTCTTGTCACAAACATAAACATGTGTCACAAGATGACAAGTCCCTGTATATAAAATGATGCATTGTATTAATCGTTACTTCTAGCATATTTTCTTCACTTAATATTATCTTTTATTTTAAAATTTTTCTAATGAATATTCAACCTCCATTATCCAATGTGGTTTTCGAAGAAGGGATTGCAAATTTTTCTATTTTCCTGTACAGTGCACTAGAAAGAAAAGGAAATGAATTCATATCACCATACAGTATCACGTCTGCTATGTTATTACTAGTTTTAGGAACCGGAACCACGACAAAATATGAAATGGAGACTGCCATTTTTGAATATGAGGAACCAGATGATGTCAACCGAGGATACAAACTTCTTAATGACAAACTATCGACCAGAACAGCACCGGGCGTTACATTTGCTATTGCTAATAAGTTATACGCTAGTCAGGGCTTAAATCTTTTAAACACGTTCTCTACAAAGGCATCAACAATCTATGGTAGTGTCGTTGAACGCTTGGATTTTGTTAAAAATACGGAAAATTCACGAGTGACAATAAATAATTGGATTTCCGCAAATACAAACAACAAAATTAAAGATATGATTCCGAAAAATGTTCTTAATAAAGATACATTACTTGTTCTGGCCAACGCTATTTACTTTAAAGGGACATGGAAAACAGAATTTAACAAGAATGACACGAGACAAAGAAACTTTTTCGTCAGCACAAACGAGCAAACACTTGTACAAATGATGTATGGTGAGTTTGATGCAAAGTCTGGCGAAGACCTTGATCTTGACTGCAAGATTTTACAACTTCCATACAAAGGAAACAAGATATCTATGGCATTTATTTTGCCAAATTCTGGTGATGGACTAACCGAACTGGAAAATATACTTACCAATAACGATTTAACGACACTTGTAAGCGGTTTAAAGACACAGAAAACACTAATTCGAATTCCTAAATTTACAATGCAACGTGAGTACGATTTGAAACCTATTTTTTCAGTGTTAGGAATTACGGAAATATTTGATCCAATGATTGCAGATTTTAGTGAAATGGTTCAATCTGATGCACACATGAGTGATGCGCGTCATAAAGCTTATATTGAGGTCAACGAAGAGGGGAGCGAGGCAGCAGCAGCCACTACGGTCACTATACAAGTGAGATCAAACATAAGTCCCAAACCAAAGCCATTCCAGTTCGTAGCAGATCATCCTTTTTTGTTTTTGATTCAGGATGACGAAACAGGAATACCGCTGTTCATTGGAAGATTTACCAGGCCATAGTTTAACACGTCTTTTATTACAACATATAAATTGTAACATTATTCAACAAATATATATTCTTTTTTCTGTTACGTATACTGATAATAGTTCTTTTTTTACTCATGTAATCATCTTTTCATAATAAACGTGACATTTTAGACTGACTTATGCATGCTTTTTTTTATTTTTATTTTTTCTTCCCGTTCTTGGTTTTTTTTCTTAGGTAATACTCTTTCTGACACACGGTGTACAACAATGAAAAACCCTCAGGACCGTACAACAAGCCACGAGTCTTAACAAATTGTTTATGATTTTAATAGTTACCTTCAAATATCTCATACAAGACCAAATTTGCAAAAGATAGAACACATAAGACAGCAAAATCTATCACAAATATCTTCGACAGGTGATAGGCATATACACATGCGTCGTGAGGAACTAAACATTAAAACACCTCATCAACTAATGTATGCAGTTACTGGAAACAAGTATAAAACCATGTGGGGTGGACTGTTATAACAGGACTAGCTGTAAATGCACATTTACCAAGGCAAAAAATAAAATGAAAAGATAAACAGTCTTCACAATTATCATTTTAAAAAATGAAAAGTCCCAACAGAAGAAAGGGTAAACTTAGATGTCCAGGATGGGTACACAGTTTATACCCCATTAGTAGTACCCGTCGTGTTACTGAATACGTGTAAGCATTTGATGATAAGTCTCATTTAGTGATTTCACAATAGAGGAAAAGAGGATTGTGGGTGATTCAAGAGTAACATTTCCGTCGTCATCAGTGACACTTATCTTCCATTACAATCGACGGAATCATGATAACTTCAGTAACACTCTGGAAGGGATGACTTCAACCTCACTATATGAAACCCTTTGTTCAAAAGCTTTCTTGTTAGAAGTAACCCTCTTTCAAGTGAATCTTGATAGAAAATGACTAAAAAAAAGATTTTCAGTTTTCCTGTCAAACATTTTAGGCTCTCTCTAGGCACTCTTGTGTCCTCCACCAATTAAAACCGACCGCTATGAAATAGCAATAGTGGTGAAGATGGCTTCAAACACCAAATAATCAATCAACCAATCCACTCCGCAAGTATCATATGGCTACTAGGAAAAAAAGATGATGACATGAAAAGATCCCTGCAGACGTCACACCTATTCCACAACTAAAATATTAGACAATTGCAAAACTTAGATTTCTAAAGAATCCCTTTACAGGAATATACACAAAAAGTAAAATGTATAATTGCTGGAAAACAAATACTATGAATTCAGAAAACAGGTAACGGGTTAACAGGGTAACAGTTTGACAGGTTAACAGCTAAAAACAGGTCAGACCATGTTCATTTATATTTCAGATAATAGCACTTCTCCAATTAAGCATAACATTAAAATTCAAAGTTATTCACCAATGTTCAAATCTCAAAAATTGATTTGGAAGACAAGAGAAAAAAAAAACACGGAAGGAATCGCATGATTTTAAAAAAGAAGCAAAACAAGGTACGTCGACAGGGTAAGGATGTCAGGCTAGGTCTCCATCAACCAATGGTATATTTCGTCCCTCTTTTTGGTGAACAATTACGCATAATTTTTGTAATATATTTCTGCAATTTATAAAAAATTGTCAAAGATCTAGAAGCCTGCATCGCTAGGAAGTTTTGCCCTTTGTTGATCTGCGATAACAATTGGCACATGTTGTTCCGTAGGTTTTCATTAATCGGCTATATCAAAACATAAACTTTTAGTTTAAGACTAGAAGATTTCTGAACAATAGGAATAAATTGCCTCTAACAGCAATCCAACTGAACGATACCAGATAAGTGGTGTACTTTCGATTTGGAATTCCAATATTTGAAATTAAAGGCGGCGGATCAAAATCTGACATAACTAGTTAAAACCTTGAAATGGTAGTGTAGTTAATCGCTTGGATTTTGACAATAAATAATTGGATTTCCAAAAAAACTAACAACAAAATTAAAAACATATCCCGAAAAAAGTTTTGAGTGCAAATACATTACTTGTTCTGACTAACGTCATTTACTTTAAAGGGACATGGAAAACAGAATTTAACAAGAATGACACGAGACAAAGAAACTTTTTCGTCAACACAAATGAGCAAACACTTGTACAGATGATGTATGGTGAGTTTGATGTAAAGTTTTTCGAAGACCTTGATCTTGATTGCAAGATTTTACAACTTCCATACAAAAGAAACAAGATCTCTATGATATTTGTTTTGCCAAATTCTGGTGATGGACTTACCGAACTTTAAAATATATTTCCAAGGATGATTTAACGATACTTGTAAGCGAACTAAAGACACAGAAAACAATTATTCGAATTCCAAAATGTATAATGGAACGTGAGTACGATTTGAAACCTATTTTTTCAATGCTTGGAATTACGGAAATATTTGATCCAACGAATGCAGATTTTAGTGAAATATTTCAATCTGATGAACACGTGAGTAATGCGCGTCATAAAGCTCATATTGAAGAAGAAGGGAAGCGAAGCGGCAGCGGCCACTACGATCACTATGGTGAAGTCAAGCATGATTACTCAACCGATCTCATTCCAGTTTATAGCAGATCATCCTTTTTTGTTTTTGATTCAGGATGACGAAACAGGAACACCGTTGTTCATTTGAAGATTTACCAGGCCATAGTATAACATTTTCTTTTAAACATATGCATTATTCAACTAGTTAATATTACTTTTAATGTTACTCGTACTGATAATAGTTGTTCTAGTAAATGTACAGCAGAGCATTTAAAGGCATGCATAAATAGTCATTTGCTTAGTAATACGAAAAAATGCATTATATCTGCCTATTGTTAATAAAAACATCTTAACAGAGAATTACTACATATCGTTTATATTTTGTTAAGGATCTGACAACATCACACTATAAGTAGTTTAGGAGTTGTTAAGCTATCGCATGGAAAGAACGAAGATGGGTTTTTTAAACCGGCCAACTGAGCAACTTGCATTAAAGTTCATCTAGTTAGAAATTTTTTACATTGCATTCAACTGACCAGCGGGAGATCTCTTTTATCGACTCAGGTCATCATCTTTTCATAATAAACGTGACTTTTTCAACTTTAACTGACATATATTCTAGTAAATTTATGCATGCATTTTTGAATTTTCTCATGTTTTCCCTTCTTGTTTTTTTTTGTTTTTGTTTTTTTGTTTTGTTTTTTGTTTTGTTTTTTTTTGTTTTTTTTTAATTGTTTCTGACAATGAAAACCCCTTAACACCGTACAGCAAACCATGAGTCTTTGCAAATTGTTAATGATTACGCAAGAGAGCCGAAAAATACAAAAGGGACATTCAAACTGATAAGTGTTGAAAATAAACTGACAAAGCCATAGCTAAAGAGGAAAAAGACCAACAGACAAACAACAGTACACAACACACAAAATAAAAAAACTAAAAGCTGAGCAACTCGAAACCCACTAACAACTGGGGGTTAGCCATGAAATATCTAATACAAGATCAAATTTTGCAAAAGATGGAACACATAAGACAGCAAAATATATTATCAAGATATTTGACAGATGATAGGCATATACAGTGACGTGCAAAAAGTATTCGGTCTAAATGGCGGCGTATTTACGTTCTTACAGCTCACTCAGTTATAAACGACCTTGCCCACACGTCATTCACGTCACTGATGATAAAACTATTTATCTTTAGCGTTATACATCACAAGGTCTACACTAGTAACCCGAATTTAGCTTGATCGGCCAAAAAGGTATTAACGCTATTTAAAAAAGATTAATGACCATAAGATAAAGATTGACAAAAATTAAAAATTATTTTTAATGCATTTCAATCAATATCAAATTATTTTAATGCCAGTCAAATAGATTCCCTTGCGGTCATTCAAGTTAGTTTCAGATGTGGTTAAGCTGTCTCGAAATAATTGGCATTTAAATAATTTAATTTTTACCATAAGGTAATTGATATAATTTAGAATGACAAATAAGAAAAAAAAAAACTATTATGAATAAAAGTAAAAGTGAGTAAAAATTTAAAGGATAGAATAACTAATAAATAATTAAATTGATGAATAAAAATAAATGATAAAACAAATAACCTCGATGAATCTATCGTTTATTTGTTTCAACCTTTATCGATTTTAGATATAATACTTAGTAAAGTCACATGCTTCACAATTAAAATAAATGAATGAACAATACATAATATTATAAGTAAAGTAAGAAAACTCAGAAATATTGCAAAAATTGTGAATCTGTTGAAAATAAAATAGATAGATATATAAGTGAACATAATTTTATTTCTCCCAAATGCAGTAGCTCTTTATCTCACATATTCGTTTCAAAGATTGTTAACTGATATGAAAACTCGTGGCATTTAAGTAACGTGTGGTCTCTTACAAATACTTAAAATTAAAAACGGGAAAGAGAATGAGAAGGTCGTAATTGCGCCCATTGGCAGGAGCCTAGAAGTGAAAGATATTTTTTTTTTTTAAATAAATAGAAAATAAATAGATTGAAACTATTATATGCATAGAATTAATGTATTCCTGTATATTTACCTTTTCTTTTTTCTGTTTTCCTATATTGTACTCGTTATTTAGATATTGACAAGATCGTAAAAGGAACAGAAATTATTCATTGTTATTACATAATTTAAATCGATGCATCTTATATTTTCGGTAAAAAAAAACATTTACAATTATACCGACATTAAAATAGTCTGTAATTAAAAACAATTTTTGTTAGATAATAAAATTGATATAGATAATGTTGACACTTGTTGAATTCATTTAGTAAACAGTTAAGTCTTGCTAAAAATTGCAAATAAGGTAACAGCTCAATGAACTTTTCAAACTATGTAAATTGTAATACCGGTCACTGGTGCAAAACGTGCGTTAATTGTGGAAAATGAGTAAATATCAAACGAATATTGAATCGTGGTTACGATTGTGTTAAGGGATTATCGTGCTGTCCGTACGTAAAAGAATTCTTGCAATAAATGAACATAGATTCTGTGAAAATATAAGATAAATTTCAGTCTGCGATAATGATGGATGGGTTTAACGACATTGACTGGCTATTAAGCCCTCTAACAGTCGGCCCTGGCTTACGTCTTTTGATGCACTTAAATAAATTATTTTTAC